AACTTTGAAACATAATTTTAATGTTGTGTAAGACAATTGGCTTTTCTACTCCAAGTCTCTAATAGAGACTTCGTTGGCGACCAGTACAGTATGGCAATCTTATAGTGAATATAATTTTATTTAATTATTATAAAACTGATAAATACAATTACATATTCGACCTTCGGAGCCAAAGAGCATGAATTAAGTCAATTTTGTTTTCAAAAACTGCCCAGCATCGTTTTGAAAGCGTCCCGGATCAAACGTGTCGGCGTGTGGACAATGATGATCATCAAACAACATGTTATACGCATGTTGCAATACTATTGTTTTGTAGCAACCTGCTAGTATTTAAACACAAAATTAATTAATTTTATAATAATAAAGTAGGAATAGTTGGACATAGATGTTATGCAATAATTATCTAATTGTTGTTTAATCGCATAATTAATACCTCGTGTTGTGTCGCATAGAGTGACGCGCGGAGAGCCAACGGGAGCGGCGGTGCGATAGCGTAGGGTCTCAGCGATGAACGCCTGCACGCAATGCATGAGCCGTTTGTAAACCAATGTGACCACTATATCGGCCAACACGTGATCGATCTCTACCCTCATTATTCTCTGCCAGTCCTCACAATAAGCCACAAATAATACCATCCATTGAAGTCTGGCGTATGTCGTCTCTGTGCCGCTGGTAATGGTTAAAAAGAATTTATCATGATCAATTAAGTTATATTTAATGTGATTTATTAATGTGCTATTATAATACAGTTTCCAACTGTCTATGCGGGTTTGATTTATACCGTTTATTATGAACAATTGAATTTTTAAATAACAATTTTGATTTAAAATAATATAGTTTTAATTAATATGAGATAACGATATAATAAACAATTGAATTGTATACCAAAAATCAAGTCAATAGCTGAGGCGACAATGTTCTGGTCGGTCAACCACTGGTCAACTCCGGGCCGACACTCGGCCTCTGCCTTAAGCTCAACGCCGATAAACGCAATAACTGGGAATAAGCAGTGGTCAAAAATTTGAACTTGCTCAAATCACCTGGTTCCAGTCTCGTAAGTAAGAACATGTTTTTTAATTATTATATTATTTTTTTATAAAATAATACTTTTGATTAAAAGTAATCAACAAAATAATGTTGAAAATCATACCAAAGAGATAGGTTTTTGGTATAACCGGTCGATCAATGCCTTCTTTGGCCACCATTTGTGAAGTGATGTCCGAAATTAATTTAACATTTAAAATATAAAAAAGTCTCAATTTATTATATGAAGCTTTTAAAACTAATTGAGCAATTAATCATATGATTATTTCTCTAGAATACAATTCTTAATAATTAAAAATAATGTTAAAACTCATTCATAGTATTTGATAGCATTTGTCATAAAAATCACAAAAATGAATGTTTTTCAATAAGTTAAAATAATTTACATTTTTCAATGCTTAAGTTTAATGTCATAAATGAGTTTTAACATTATTTTCAATGGCTAAGAATTGTCTTCTAGAGAAATAATCATATGATGTGAGACATACGGAAAGGATAATCGTTATTATCTGATATGATTTGTATTACAATTTCTAGATTAATAAAAACAAAAATAAACTAAATTACAGCAATTTGTAGTTATTTTGTAGGAAAAATGTAGTCTTTAATTGACCAGTTAAATGACATGATAATTCTGTTACAGTTTATATTACAATTAATATTTGCACTAGTTTAATAGTCGCTCCATACCTGACTGCCGTGTGAGCGACCTTGCGCAAACATTCCCAACTGTATAGGTGTGTGAGCTAAATAAAACATCCTGGTAATCAGTATTGTTGAAAATACGCGCTAAAAACAATAAAAGTTTATTATAAATGTATCATGATGCAACTATGTTGTCAACGTACACAATGATATGTCAAGTCGTGCCATGAATTCTGGCCGAGAAAATGCATGTTTGGCGACATCCGGGTCGCCTACGATTACTACTGGTTTGGGTCCGACCCATACGGTCACAACCGGGCCGTATGTTTGTACAACTGTCTGAAGTGGTCATTGCAGTGCCCTTTCATATAACTAAACACTTTATATTACAACTATTTAATTAAATTTTATATTTATAAATTTATTTTATATTTACGTAATATAATTGCAATCAATGGCGGAGACGTCGGACCGGGCGGATAGTTGCTTAGGTTGGCGTAGAAGTATACTAGGTACTAAATTATTTTAAAAAGTGGTTATTGTTATCATCAGCAATACTAGTGAAACATTTTGGTAATTAATTTGGGCCCATATATTTGAGTTTAACATTGTCTCATTAATAGACATTTTGTCTTGAAAACATCCAAATATGTTTATAATTCAATATAGTTTTAAATTAATTAAATTTGTTACATATAATATTTAATTAAAAATATAACGGAATTTATTTAATTAATTAATTTTATTGTAATGTACTTTATTGCTGTAGTTATTAGAAATTGCACTAAAGCTATATTGTGGTCTCGCGTATAATTAAGTCAATTATTTAATAATATGAATACAAGCTATTAAAAAATTTTAAATTTAAGTTTAATCATAAATTATGTAACTTATCATTTTATGATAAGTTTTATACATCAATAGTTAGATACTGTATTTAAAAACGTAAATATGTTTTTAATTTTGTAAATGCTGTAATAACTTGTTTAATTTAATTATTAAACCTGATTTAGATAAAAGGGAAACTTTCATGTATCATGATCATTGGGCAAATGGATCACGTTCACCAAAACAATCATACACATTATTTTACAAACGCTATAAATATTTTAATTATTTAATTTTGTAATATAGTATTTAAAAATTTCATTCCAAAGACAAAATATCTTAAATTGAAATATTCAGTTTTAGCCATAAAACCTAAAGAAAACTCAATATTTTCAATATTTCAATTTAAGATATTTTGTCTTTGGAATGAAATTTAAAAAAAATTTCTTTTACTAACATTATCAGCATTGAATGTAGATTTCAAAAATATAATCAATTATATTAAAATACAATATTATTTGTCATCTCCATAGGTTAACATGCAAAATTGGCCTAGTTTGCTAAGCTGCTATGTGAAAACCTTCAATCAAATTTTAATAATTCTGTTTTTATTTTATTCATGTGTTATCCTTTTACAAATTATACATTGGGACCATCTCTATATTTCTTATAGTTTTGCCTGTAATATGATCATTCCGAATGTTTATATTATTAAGTAAACCACGTGACTTATATTTATAATAAAGTAAGCTGCAGATGCGCAGTATATGACGCTCTTATATCCATTTTACAGAATTAAATTATCTCATTTAGTTTAAAAATGGCAGCAGTTACCGCACGATTGGAATCACTTGACCGCCCTATTATATTATAAGTAATTATTAATTAAATTCGATATTTTATTATAAAAATTGTTTAATTATTTAAACTTAAAACGTAATGTATATTTTAGCCCGTAACATGATGATTAAATTTTATTAATGTTAAAAATAGAAATATATATATTATTACTTATACCCTATTCTATTCTATTGTTTTAATGTAATATTTGTATGCATTGTTAGAATCGATGGTATTTGAGTTGCATTGAAAGAATTAATGATATTAATGACATAATGAGATATACATGAGTATTTTATTAATTCAGTACTACTATCTCCCATACATAATGTATAAATCGTATTTATTATTCATAAATATTGCTATCAACATTGGATTTCAAGTATTTATAAATTATATTGAATAATTAGCGTATGAGTGTCATGTGATTCTGTTGGAGATGGTATGTGTTAACCGACTTTTGTCACAAGATGGGTATCAAGAATAAAATTATACAAATGTACGTTGACAATCATGATTAGGTCACAGATCCATTTAATCGTGTGGGTGTATATGTGGATTAAATTAACAAAAAACATGTGTTCGCTATTTTATAAGAAATTTTGTCGCATGTTCTTTATTCGTAAACATAAAGGTGGTCACACTCGTTACTGCGCTTATTTTTCGGATTGATTTAACATTGGCCAAAAAATTGATCACTGTACACGTTACGTAAATTTATAACGGTACACAGGAAGGGTTAAATAAATAGTTATATTGGTGTTCAAGCTTTTTATTGACCATTTGTAGAAACAATAATAAATAATGTTTATAAATTTTTAAAATTATTTAACAATTATTTTAGTAATTTACAACAATAAGTATAATTTAATTCATTTATCACGGTTACCAGGGTCTGTCAAGGACGACCGATAAGGTATACTTTGCCTCTATGCTCTCATAGGAAATACATTATAGCTCTGCCCGCGAATGCCCAGATATGCACGCTCTGCTATAAGCTGACGGTTACAATTGCAGGAGTGACGGCCGGGAAGTGAGAGCGTCGGGGTGTAAGTCCCGGTCACACCACTGCAATAATTTACTTAAGACTCTTGACTTAAAACATTAACAATTTATTAATTAAATAATGGCTGCGAGTGAGAACTACTCAGCTCTACAGCAAACTTAACTCTACATAGTCTTAATCAGCTCTGCCTGAAGTCCAGCACTTGCAGGTCTTATATATCCACTTGATAAGTGAGAATACAATAAGTGTTACAGAAATCTTAACATAAAGTGATTGGAAATATATTAATAATTAATACATTGGATATGAGTATAAGGTGTATAAAGTATGACCAGCGCCTCTGCACAATTATATATTAATTCAAACATTAATTCTAAAATAGCTATTAATAAGTCATACATTAACCAAAAGAAATATAATTTTATATCAACGAGTATTATGGGAGCAAATAAGTCAGAACTATCATCATTGTCATCAAAATCACGTATTAATTTATCAGTACTTAGTTGACGAAATAACAATTGACCAGTTTAAAACATTATCGTTAACCTAAAAATATTAATATATAAGATCATTCATTATATTTCCGGACTTTAATACTAAAAATTTAAAATTATTTTTTAATTATGAAGCAGGCAATTATTTCAAATTATGTAATAGCCGATTGAATTGGCAAATATTGGGCATCAATCGTACAAAGTTTCATTTATTTTCCGATAGAAATGGCGGTTCTGTGAAACAACAAAGTGAGTGAAGTCAATTTCAACCACTACTTTTGTTTTGGAATTTTTATCACCAAAACATGACTGCAGAAAATGATCATAAAAGTCATGTGATAGTGGAATAATAGGAGAATATGGTGGGTGTGAAAGAACTTGTCAGCCAAAGCCTAAGAATTTTTTAATGTAATTTTTTAAAAAAATATGGTCTAAAAATAGGCTAAAATAAGGCATATTTTAGACATGTATGCAATTACACGCTCTGAAAAATGCCCACTTGGGTTTAAATGGCCACAAATTATTTTCTAGTATAAATATAAGTTGACCAACAATTCCATGTTGGGAAATCGCGGATCGTACACAACCCGCACTTTTGGCACACGATTGGCCACTTCCCGGTGTCGGGCCGTTTGGGTGCGATCTTTAAGGTTATAAACACCTGATGTACACCTTTTGAGCAATTCATATCATTGGTTGATATCCATTACTGTGATTTAGTTCTATATATTATAACTGTGAGTCTATTTATTAGTGCTATTAACTTAAAACAAAAATAGGTAATATTTTTCAATGTTATCGATACCATAAATTTTGGGTGAAATTACTACTACTTGAAATAATTTTAGAACTTTTTATACATGAAATTAAAGAGGAGTAATGAGTGCATAAAAAAGCGTTTAAATCAATATGAAGGCATATACCAAAAAAATTTGGGAATCGTTTACACATGACTATATTTAAAAATCCGGTTTATTTGTGAATACCTTTATAGTAATAACAGAAGGATATACAATGTACAATATAATTTAAATCATACTTAAAATTAAATAAATCTTTAAGTGGTTCTGGAAGTTTTTTTATTAACCATTGGCTGAAATATTGTTAACCACTGGTTATCACGTGATTTGTGCAGCGATAATGTTGGATGGAGTCGAATAATGACATTTATGTGAAATTCAGCCCCTATATAAACATGGTCACCTTTGTAAATTTTCTTGATACATTCATTATTTCTGTAAATTGTGTGACCATTAATATGACGATAATTTAAATTACTATAATGTATCCAGATTATATTAATACAATTAATTTTATATAATTTTAATTAATTTACAAAAAATTATCAATTATAACAACCTTCAAATAATAATCGTATGCGTAAATTGTTTTGTCAATAAATACTGTAATTTCGGGTCCAATATCTTGAATACTGTTTATTGAACGCAACGGAGGGTTCGCTAAATTGGATAAGAATTCATTGCCAAACAATTGAATCCAAAATAGACTGTTTGCCAACCAAACAGTGAATATTAAACTGCCAAAAGATCCAGCACGTATGTATTTGCTTAATGCAGCTGGATAAATAATAAATATTAAATAAAATAATTTACCCCTAAAGATGAACTTACATTTTCCAGTTAAAACCATGGTAAAATCAAGAATGAGACATACGATTGCTTCATATGTATTAAATAATTTGTTTAATGTTTTATATTTAAACCAATCGTAAATTACTATGGTTAAAATGCACGCGGTAAACACAATTACAATGGCAAACCAGGTGGTTTTATTAAACGAATCGAGTAATGTAAATTGTCCATGTTCGTATATCTCGGTGGACAATATTGTAATATAGTTTCCAATCGAAACCGGATTAATCGGATAACTTATAGATTGCCTGTCAAGTGATAATTTAAGCCACCACGTCATGGCTATTAGCTAGATAAAAATAAAATACATTAATCAATAAATGGAAAAATAATTTAATATTGCTACATCATTTTTTCATACAATTGAACCATATATTGCGAGTCGAATATTACACGTAGTATTAAATGATTGTTTAAGAAAGTAATTGTCCGGCGTTTGAAATCAATGCTTATCCATATTGTCGTTAAAATAATGTAATTTATGCAAATATTTTTTATGAGTGCACTATATCATAATAAATTAACTTTTTTATGCTGAGGGCCCTGAGAGGTTTTTCTCCAAATTTATACAGTTTACTATATGGGAGATAAATATCACCGTTTGACCAATAAATTGCAGCATAAGATTAATACTATTTCTACTGTAGGATTTTTAATTAAAATTAAATGTGCAAATATGAAACTATTTAACCTGTATAAGCTTGTAAGGTTACAATAATTAATAGTAAAATAAAATTATTTCAATATTTTATCTTACAAGTACGATTTTGGAAATGTAACAAAGATATTTTCATTTATACCTAAACCTTATATTTTCGCTATTAAAATGATGGTTAAATTTAATCATTATTATTAATAGGAATATCTGTTGCATTACTGTATATTTAATTCTATTCTATTCTGTGTTTCTAATGTAATATTTCTGTGCATTGTTAGAATAAAATGACATTTAAATTGCATTAAAAATATTAATGATATTATTGATTAAAAATAATATTAATGAGATATACTGACAAGTATTTTATTAATTCAGTACCATCTCTATTATATAAAACATATTTATTATTCTATAGAGTTGATAGCAATATTATATTATAAATAGTTATAAATTAATTAGAATCTTTGTCCCTGTATAAACTTAAATCTCCATAATTTCACACATTTGGGACCGTAAATATAAAAATGTGAATTTATAGAACGTGATAATATAGAAAGAATTTTATCGAAATTATTACGATATATAATGCGAATTATGATAGCAATATGTTTATTGACACTTAACAACCAAATCCTACTTTTTTGTCGTTTAATTTTTGCATAATTTTTCAATTCATTTATTTTATTTGATGTTAAAGACACATATTTTTGTTTTGTGGCACTCATTATTATTAATTTAGACCAATTGTTAATTTAGGGAATGTATAATGCATTATACAAAACATAAACATGAGCACAAATGATGTGAAAGTGATATTATGGAGTGTGAAATTAAACTAATACTAATTCGTATACCCTAATATGGGGTCACTAATTTATGTGAAATTAGGGATAGTGTGAAAATATACACTGTACCTAAATATAAAGAGTGGAGTTTTAATGAAAACTAAATTAGACATAATATAACAACAGGGTACATTATGACTATAATAAATGTAACGATTATAATGAATAATACTGTAGTTTACAAAATATCAAAGCAACCCAAAAACCACGTCAAGTTATAAAGAGCTAGCGAGCAATCTTAATATACAATATGTAGAATGTGACATTATCGAGATCTAAGTGTATAACGCTTAAATATTAATTTAAACATTAATTCTAATATAACCGTTAATAAGCCATATATTAATCAATAAAAATATACTAGTATTTTATTAATTCAGTATCACTATGGAATAGATGATATTTATTATTTATAATCATTGACATCAACATTATATTATATGTACTTTACTTATAAATTAAATTGGATAATGACTTTGGGTGTCAGATTACATAAAATATATTTTGATTATAAATAACATTAATTGATAATTAATTGTTACATAAAAAATACAATAATAATCAATTAAACGTCTTTTAGTATAATGTAAAAAACACAACTTTAACATAAATATTTCAAGTATTACTAAAAATATTTTATTTCTAATGTAGTAATATTATTTGATTTTTATTAATAGAATTTATAAAAATAACAATATAATTTGTAATAAATTAATAATTAATTTAATAAAAGATATTTTATATTATTGAATTTGTTTTTATAGTCGTTGTTTGTAATTTATTAAATTATTGCAGTGATTCTATGATTTTTATTATAAAATAATATTATACATAAAATTTAATGACAATTCAAATCGGTCCACAATTTAGGATAATTGTACATGATCCATTGATTGTGATAATCATCGCAATCAATCTGCGCGGACAATAGCGTTGCCAGAAAATATTTTGGATTTCCTGTATAATTGTGCAAGTTTTAACAAAAATTCCTGTATTTTCCTGTATTTTATTGTTTGTAAATCTGAACTTTAAATTCATACAATTTCCAAAGAATTATACTTTTGCGAAAATTCGAGTGCTTATACAAGGTATTTATAATTGAGTTAATTGTGTTTAAATTTATTTTATTTCTAACATTAGTTCAGATTGTGGATGTACAGGACTATTATTATTAACAAATCTAAATATTATTATACTTTTATAGTTTATTGCTAAAATATTTATTCCTGTATTTTTCAATGTACAGGAATGACACCTTCCTGTACTTTGCAATATTCATTAATTCCTGTATAATACAGGTCATTCCTGTATATCTGGCAACGCTAGCGGACAACGTATTCGTTGTGTTTTTAACAAACTTATCAAAAACATAACGATTCAAACGTCGCAAAGGGTTCCCCATTAGCGACAACGCTGTGGGTCTGTTCGTGCCGTCGAAAGCCTTTTCACCAAACGACTCGTGTGTCAGCGAATCGCTGTCCAAATCTCACTGTTTAAATAATAAATTACTCTTTTAACGATTAAATCAAATCTTATTTAAAGTTTACACTATAATGCATTATATGGAAAGTGATTACCTTGATTAAAATATAACTATAATACAGTCAGTATCCATATCAGAGTTAATTGTTCATGATATGCACATGTGTTTATAATTCATAATGAAACATTTTGTAGCAATTTATTATGAAACACCATGTTTTGGTGATTAGTTTTATTTAAATTTTAATAGTTAGCGAATTTTGATGTTTTTAACATTTAATTTTGTGTAAATTTATTTTATAACCATAAAATTGATGCAAATTTTAAATAATAGACATTACATTATGTTGGCATGTTTTCAAAATAGAATTACAATTAATTCACAACAATAATTAACTTGTTTTACAATTACGCTTATATATTACTTCAAATATAAATTTGACGAATGATATTAATAAGCCATACATTAACCAATAAAAAAATAATTTTACATCAACGAGTATTACGGGAGCAAATAAATCACTATCAAAATTATCCTGATCATCGTCATCGAAATGATCATTAAATAACTTATCAGTACTTAATAGATGCCTTGTTAATTGACCAGTTTCAAACATTGTTGTTAGCCTACAAACATTTCAATTTATGACATTAAATAAATATACATGTATAATTTAAGTAATACTTGAGATTAAATAAATATTTAAGTCGTTTGTCAAGCTTTGTATTAACCATTGGCTGACCAATTGACAACAACGCGTTATCACGTGATTTGTGTAGTATTAATGTTGGATTAAGTAGCATAATGATATCGATTGTAAATTCAGACGTTATATAAACATTGTCACCATTGTATATTTTCCTAAAAAATTCAGTTTTTTTGAGCGCGTCGTAAGTAGCAATATGTTTGTAATTTAAATTACGATATTCTTTCTGTATTTTATTAATAAAATTGGTATTATAAAATTAATTAATAAAATTATTTTAAGTTAATACAAGTTTTAAGTTAATACCTTTAAGTAATAATTGTAAATATAAGATGATTTATCAATTAATACTGTAATTCCGGGTCCAATATCTTTAATACTGTTTATAGAACGCAACGGAGGGTTCGCTAAATTGGATAGAAATTCATTGCCAAACAATTGAATCCAAAACAGACTGTTTGCCAACCATAGAGTGAATATTAAACTGCCAAATGATCCAGCACGTATGTATTTGCTTACCGCAGCTTGGTGAACAAATCAATAAGTTAAATAAATTTAATTTTGAAGATTAACTTACATTTTCCAGTTAACACCAATGTTAGATCAAGACTAAGGCATATGATTGCTTCACATATATTAAATAGTTTGTTTGCTCTTTTATATTTAAACCAATTGTAAATTACTATGGTTAAAATACATACAATAAAAACGACTAAAATTAAAAGCCAGGTGATTTTGGTGAACGAATCGAGTAAGGTAAATTGTCCATGTTCATATAACTCGGTCGATAATATTGAAATAGTGTTGCTAACCATTACAGGATTAATCGGATGGCTTATTGAATGTCTATCATGTGATAATTGGAACCATCCCGTAATGTCTATTAGCTAAATAAAATTAAAATCATTAAAGATAATGCAGATAATATTTATATTCTACATTGTCATTCAGATAAGCCATTACTCCAGTCCAGGTTCCGTTTACTAAGACACCACCTTTAATACTAGGTCCAAAATTGACAAAGGTTATGCTGAAAATATTGTAATATTTAATTCATGTTAATTGTAACATTAAGAATTATATTGTAAATAGTATTCGTAACTTACTTGCATTTTATATAATAATAAACTATTATTATTATTTCTTTTATCATCAAACATATTTCGTATACACCATTATTTAATTTGTTTATCTAAATTGTTATATGTAAATTTATTATTTAAAGACACATTTTTAAAGACAGTTGTTCAAACAAATTTATTATAAGTTGCTATACACATATTAAATTACATAAAATTAAAAATTACATTAATGTAATCTTGCTAAGGTTAAATTATGTCAAGTTTGATTGAATTTACTTAGTTAATTTTAATTTTATTTTCAAAAAAGTGTCATTTGAACAATTGTCATTTTACCAAGTGTCATCGACCAATGATTTACATACGTATGAATCCAATAGTGCGAGTCGTATATTACACGTAGTATTGAATGATTGTTTCATAAAATAAATGTCCAGTGTTTGAAAACAGTGTTTATCCATATTGTGGTTAATATTATTTAATTTATATAAATATTATATTAGAAATATCGCCCAATTCTGTAATAAACTAATTTATAAATATCAAAATAATTATTATAACAATGAAATTATCTAAATATTGTTTTATAAAAATTATTTTTAATTAAATTATCACATGTATTTTTAGTTAAAATTTTTAACGCTTAACTGATGTATGAATTTATTGTCATTAAAAATAGAAATATCTAATATATTCTATTCTATTATTTCTAATGTAATTTTTGTCTGCATTGTTAACATTGAATGGTATTTGAGTTGCATTGAAAATATTAATGATATTATTGACTGAATATAAAATTAATAAAATATACCGCAAGTAATCTAGATAATTGAGTGCCAACCTCTACTATATACATACTGTATAACTCATATTTATTATTTTATAGCATTGATAATATCAATTTGATATCACTATTATATTACCAGTACTTATAAATTAAACATGATAATGTGTGTATGGATGTCACATGATTCTGTTCAAATCTTCTATGTAACATCTATGAAATGGGTACTTATTATTAAATCAATATGCTTAATAATAGCTAAAACATGCATGCATGAAGTGTTCGGGATACTACCATTAATATTATTAATAACATAATATAATATTAATGAGATATACAGACGAGAATCTTATTAATTCAGTGCCAGTATATCTACGATATAAATCATATTTATTATTCATTAGCATTGATATTAGTGATTGAAAAATTACAATATTTAAGTGCCGGTGCCGTAGCGATGCCGCTCAAATTTACGGCACTTAGTGCTGGTATCACTGCACCGGCACCAAAATTTCAATCACTAATTGATATTAACATTATATTAATAAATTAAACAGAATAATTTGTCTATGGGTGTAAAAACAACGTGATCCTGGTAGGGTTGGTTTTAATTGTCCGGTTATGTATCATGTTTGTCCCTGAGCACATTTGTGGTATAAACATATCAATCAAAAGTTTATTTGACCTAATCAATTGAAAGTTAAATTAATTAATTGGCTTGTGCTGGCTTTACATATCAATAATTATAATTGAATTTATTTATTACACTTATATATAAATTCAAATATTAATTCTAATATAGCTATTAATAAGCCATACATTAACCAAAAGAAATATAATTTAATATCAACGAGTATTATGGGAGCAAATAAATCATTAGCAGAACTATCCTGATCATCGTCATCGAAATGATCACGTATTAATTTGTCAATACTTAATTGATGGAATGCCAATTGACCAGTTTCAAACATCGTCGTTAGCCTATAAATAATTTATTTTAATTAATGGCATTCATTAAATATAAAGAATATAATTAATGCATGCACAATTTAATTAATACTTAAGATTAAATAAATATTTA